ATAGATATGTCTAACATATTGTATAATTAAAGAGTATCCAAATCCATATCACTCGACAAGACTTTTTCAGTCAATTGTGACATAATGAATTAATTATAGAAGAATGTCTGCACTGTCAAATCGAAAACTCCTGATACATGGCGAATGGTAAGAAAATCAACTTTCTAATACATTTGATGTGCAGTTCATTCAACAGCTCATGTAGAAGTTCTATATGAAGAATGAATAGTGCGATAAAAATTACCTATCACCTATCTTTTGGCCTTCGACTCCTTATCCAGTGTTTTGTCTCAAGCGAAATGTATGCCAAACAACAAAAGGTATAAAGTTATCCAATGAATAGCATATCTCATAGCCTTGCTACCCTACTTCAACCATACAAGAAATACAAGAGGGCCCTGCAAGTAAAAGATTAATCAGAAACTAACAGCACAAATTTGCTCCAAGGACTGAATTTTTTTTTTCTTTCATCCTTTTTGTGTCCTTGTGATTGCAATGTAATTTTTGAGGAGCTTACAGTTTCTATTTCTTCTATCCTGTTCCAACGCTAAAGCATAACATGGCATGACAACAAGAACTCAAAATCAATCTCTAATTTTATCGAAAGAAGTAGTCATCCAAACTTAAAGCAAAGAGTGAACGCAAAATAAATCTCTAATTTAATTGATTTGTCCACGATATATTTGTGTCCATATCAGCAAAATATGTATTGACATATCCATGCCTGCTGTATCATGTACCGTGTCCACATTCATGTAGAAGCAAATCCTTTACTAAGTACCTGGTAATGGTATCAAGAAATGCATGTGTAGGAAATAGATACTTACCTGAATGTGTAATATAGTACAAAGAAAGCAAGCACAAAATATGACGCAAGTTTGCAAGTTCTCCGGTTTGATTTCTTTTCAAATACCTAATAACACCATAGAAAAACCTTTAGGAAATAGAAATTAAAACAAAACAATGAGAAATAACAAAAAATGTTAGGATCATCTATTCATTTACCATCTTGAATCGATCCATTGTTCCTGACATAATCCCTCTCGATGCATCCATTTCATTCCCCTAATAGCATATGGATAGAAACATGAGCAAATATTCCACTTAAAAGTTATTTATACTTCCCCTACTACAACCAACATACCATTCGATCCAGCATACGGTTATGACTCTCCACCTCCTCATGTATGTCACCTGTCAGCTGCCAAAAGTAATAAATTAGAAAACCTGCACATAAACACAAAATTCTAAAGATTAAATTTGCATAATTTGTATTTGAATTCAATACGACAAGCATCTTAGATGATGATACAACACACATTTTTGCCTAAGGCCAACATATATGAAACCACTACTGATAAAAATTACTCTCTATCTATTTTAACCCTAAAAAACGGTAGGTATAGCAAAACTAGGTGATGCTCTTCTACTATGGCCTTGCTGCTACCAGCATACACTCTCGTGAGAGTTGGTTACAAAAGCTCTCCTCAAAAAGATTTGGCCAAGCTGCCACTTTCCAATCGAAGGCCGACAAAAGTAGAGTTTAAAGTTGTCACTCCCTAAGAACATCACTGATTCAGCATATTAACATGATCAAATTTGAAAACGATATGTTGACTAAAACAATTAAAGTGATGTTACTGCAGAGGCCTCACTTCCAATTATGAGAAGAAAATGCTCTAGACACCCTAATGCGCCATTAATCTGTGGGTTACCTGTTTCTCAATCTTGGAATGTTAAGTGATATTCAATTTTGAACACTTAACCATAATTCATGGATGGACTAATTTTTAAGCTCATAAAAGTTGGGCATAGAGGCGAACCAAAGACCCCCACCCCCATCCCCCACACCCCCCAAAAAAAAAAATCATTTAAAAAAGAATCCTCTTTCTCAGATGCATTTGTGTTCACAGATTCTTTTTCCTACAAGGTTAGTGAAGAACATGCCTGTGGACCAAAGAAATGCTTGTTCGTTGACAAGAAGAATACTCAGTAAACGTTAAAAACAGATTGGGGATTTAAACTTCATCCCAGTCAAATAAAGTAGCCAACTTTTTTTTTTCCCCCTCAAAATGCATGTTCAAAATCGAGGTAAGGCCATACATATTTGTCCTCGTCTAGGCACTCTTACGATGACTCAACAGTTTTAGGAGAAGAAGCTCAAGGAAACGAACTTTTTGCATTGAAAAGCATATTACAGGCTTTTTTAAGTAATAAACTTCAGAATTGATTTGTCCACAGAGGTTGAAAATAAGGTATGGTCCTCATTCGTACCTTACAAACCCAAACCCAAAACAAAAGAAATGACAATTCGTGTGTAGGAAAAAAAAAAAAAAAATAGGATGACTGATACTTGTGAATATTAAAAAGAAATTGATCGACGAAGCATTTGGAACTTAATGGTTGGAATATTTAATAACTAATACTTGTTTGTTTCTCAGTATGGCAGTAACACTATCAGTGAGATGACACTATTCAAAAGATTTGACCCTATGCAAAAACATTGAGGTCAGCCTCTTTCATTCTCTAGAACTAGGAAAAACTTGAATATCAGAAATGGAAAATTTCGACCAGATAAAAAAAGGTTCTAGCTAATATCTTGCCAGAGAATAGACAGAATTATGCAGTGCAAAACAAAAGGTAACAATGCAAAAAAATTATTAGTCCTGTTGAAATATGAAGTGCTTGCAGACTGCAGAGAAGGATACAATATGATATCAAAAAATTTTATAGATATGTTATGAACCAGTCATTGACCTGTCCAAAGCACCGGGTCGCTGTTGGTTGAACTGGTGCATGTTATTGTTACATAACAAAATTTTAATCTAAAAACATTTTTAACAGAAAAAAAAAATCTTAAAAAATCTTTTAAAAATAAGGAAAATAATGCAAACTTAAAGTTAAGAACTATAGTATCGAAAGTAAAGTAACATAGTGATATAAAAATTAAGATGCTCACGTCTTTCCTTTTTTAATATCAAACAAACGATATAATCTTATTTTTCATCTTCTTTTATGTTGTTTTTATATTTTTTCTAGTCATATCTGTATTATCAAACAATTATGCACGTAAGAATTTCATAAGGTATCCATTGAATTATTCTAAAGAAAATAAATATTATAAGACATTTATTTGACAATAAGTAAACAACATAGCATTGTTTTTCTTTTACAATTTTTCACTTGATTAGTCAAATATTAAATTGGTAAATAATAACGTGTATCAACTTTAAAAATTCAATTTTTTTTTAAAGTTGAAGAAAAGGACATAGTTGTAAAAAAATTGAAAACGTATGTTCTATATACGCAGTGAAATGTGTCGATAAAAATCAGCTTTGTTCAGTGGAAAGAGAACAACATTCACGAATAAGCTCTGTGGTTCAATCCCCCTCCCAACGCACATAATAATTTTGGCTACAATGCCAAGATGTTATATTTATCAAAAAACAAAATAACCAGGTCGCCAGTTCAGGGAAACATCTGAGTTGGACAATTTATGGCCAGTTTTCTTGTGAACCAGTCTAGACCCAACCCGGCTTCATAGCCGGATCCCAGGCTGAACCAGTCTGGGTTTGAAAACTATGCTTCGAACCATGGAACTCATAACTGAAATTAGTTTTGTATTCCTCTGGACAACAAACAGTAGTGTAATATGATAACCAGTATAAATTGCAAAGTTTTCTTTCATATTAATACTTATAAATGAAATTCATAGAATAAGAATGTAGAGAACCTAGATAAATGACAAAAGAAATTGGAAAATTGTAATAATATAATATTAACTTAAAATAATGAAAAGTAAGAAAGAAGAAAATCTTGTAAACATCTTTAATTTGACTTAAAATAATAAAAATACTTGAATTTTAACTTTAACTTATACGAACCAGCGACCCACCCAATGATACCTCCTGCAATACCATTCATGGTACATCTTTTTGGACTGCACATAAATGATGGTTGTGAAAGGTTTTCTCATCCTTGTATCCTCAGCTGACCAGCAAGAGTCTTTGCCTAACTTGGAAACTGAACACCAGTCAATACCGAATACACTCTAGTTGTCAACCGCCACCAAAACTTACCCACTTTCCACACAAGCACTACCAGAGAAACACCCACCGATGACTATTGTTCTCAGTCTATTGCAAAATCCCCACAGGCCATAACTTCTGAAACGCCTTACAATAAGTATCTACCATGCTTTACATTAACAAGCTGTTCGGCGCTGGAGCCACATGAATCAGATGGCATGTGCTCAATGATCCATACCCATATTTCAGTTAGAAAAGCTCATTGTTCACGACAGTTTGATTAGAGGTTCCGGTATACAAGGTTTTAATATTTAATTCACAGGGCTTGGTCAATAAGGAATAGTGAATTTGAGTTCATAAACCTGTGTTAAATTTCTCGAACTTTCTTTATCTTGAAGGATTGTTTTGTCATTTCCAAATTGAATTGTATGTGTGAGTGTCAACTATTCTGCCCAACAAAGTCACGTGTATCATAGGAAAACAAAACAAGCTATAGCAGAAATCGCGTCTGGTTTAAAGAATTGAAGTGAGTAGAAACTAAATAAATTATATATTATCAGAAAAACACTAACTCTTTTCAAGAAGCTGACTCTGTCTTGTAAGCTGTCCATGGCTCCTTCATTGTCTTGATCGCTAATACCATGTGAATAAGAGGAAGAAGCCCTAAGACCACCTTCTTCAATGCTATCAAAATTATCTAAAAGAGCGGACTTAGAGGCTCGATGATCCCTGTGTTCAGAAACCTTTATTATAAGTCCTGGGAACTAGAACACATAACTCACAGTTTGCGGCCAAAAGAAATTAAAAATAAAACCTTTCCATATTTCTAAACAAATGACAAGATTTGATTCCTCCACTTCAGAAGCCAGAAATTAACTCTCATAATTTGGCTTAAACGTTTTGCTCAAATTTGTGCCAAAAACAAGGATGAAATTACTATATGCAGAACAAACACATAAATGCAGCATCAGTAAATGTTAGCATACACGATAACAAATACAATTCACATAGCAACGACAACCTCGATATTCAATTAATGAAATTCCACATAATACAAAACAATGATGAAGCTAGACACTTGTTTATCAGTCGGGCTACTTATTTCTTGAGTCGGTCATAACCCATGATTACATCATTTGTATAAGAAATCACAGTAACATTCAACTTTTAGTATTACAATGAAATGGATCGAGTACGACAGAAAGAAAAAGGTTCCTCTTCCCATATCCAAGTTATTAAGAGTGATCTATTGTGTTTCACTCATTTGCACAAATAATAGACGCATGGAAGAAAAAAACTCTATAAATTCCAAAAAGCAGTTAGAAGTTGTGAGAAACTTTTAGCATACAATACTCATGAAAAGATGATAAGTTGTAAACATAAAAATATTTCAGTTGAACTCAAATATATATATATATATATATTACTAAATTTAGGCTTGGCCAATTTTCACAGATAACTGGAAACAATGGAGAATTCATGTCATCATTTTATGAGAGATTCGCCTTCGTTAAATAAATCTTGAAGCAACTATTCCAAAGATTACTTTCTTTTTCTTTTCTAATGTTTCCTAATTGATCGCCTAAGTACCACCATTTTTTATTGAAATGGAGTTTTACAATGTTACTTTGTCGAAAGATAAGTATGACCCCTGTGCCTTGTGTTTTATGTTTGCTGCAGAGGGGTCAACTTCAGCAATGAACTTTACTCAGCCCTTGAATGAAGTACGAGGAAAAACATAAATTATTGCTTACCCTAGCATTATTGATAATCATGTATACAAGTGTATTAAAGACAAGAACCAAAAAGTTCTGTTTTGCAACGTTGCTAATGGAGTTACTGTAGAGGATGTGATGTCACAGAAAGTGATTGTTACAAGGCTGAATTGAAAAGGTTGTAAAGCATAAAACTAAATGTTTAATGGAATGAAGAAGTGCTACACGAATTCTGTGATAGGAAATAAGATTATAGGCTAACAAGTAGAGATAGCATTGATTAACAATAAACTAAGGGGAGGGCAACTTCGGTGGTAGGGACATGCCTTGTATGGATGAAAGATGCTCTCGTTAATTAGAATGATACGAATCACAAGAGGGAAGGATGCACCAAAACCAATGTGGCCTATTACGTTGCTAAAAATCTAGTTGTTTCATGTTTAGGTGCAGCTTATTCTGTGCCTATAAGAGGGAGAGAGAAAAAAGTATGCATAGTAACAAATCAAATTGAGAGGTAAAAAAAGATTCATGTAGTTGACCGCAAATTTATCAAGAATAAGACTTACTTTGTTGTCGAAAAATAAAATGGCATTTATGTGAATTATATTGGTTCTTTATAGTCCATCCTAGTAGCATTTGCATTTTAAAAGAAAATGGAAAGAAAAGTTATATCACAAGTAAAAAGAAAGTGGAAAGAAGTAGCTCTGATAAGGGAATCAACCAACTGCGGTAATTGCCAATGCAGGAACGAAATAGAAAACTTTGATCATGTTACTGAAATTCCATGCTCTCTGCTATGGTGCTACCCAGTCACAAACTAGAACTCTGAAAATTATAACAAGGGTGTGCCAGAACACCAATTGGCAAAATATAAGTCCTACTCTACTCCCACAAATACACAGGTTCACTGAACTTGCTACAAAAATAGTGTCACAGCAGCTGTTCATCAAAAAAAAAATCCATATCCAATCAATCAATTAGTCAGCTCAAACCCGTACGTAATTAAGTAAAATATAAATAGCCCCAAGTGAAAACCCGTCCACACAGGCACTCGTCTTACCCGGAAAATCTCTGAATAGAGCTCATAAACCAAAAATCTTTAAGAAGAACTCAAACTAAATGGGAGCTAAAGAAACCATATCAAACAAAATCAAGGGCACATATTTTCATGGACTTTTTTCAACCTCGAATTCTTCATGGATTTTTTCATGCAATCTATGGCTTTCTTAGATGTTACATCATAAGATAGTTTAGATCACTGATTTCCACGAAGAATTTCACAAAAAAGGTCATATATTTTATAAGCAATCATCGACATCAAATATATAAACAGATGAGTTGATTCTTTCTTGGAGCCTGGAGGTAGTCTTATAAATTCTTTCTTCTCTAATCTATTTCTAGAGGGACGAAAAAATTATTTTCTCTAGAGTGCTCAAATAACTAAGCCCAAATCAGACAAGCTACTATGCGAGACAAGGCAAAAACAATTTTGCCAGACAAACTAGTAAAATGATCAGAAATTACCAGAGATATTCGAATATACCTAGTTCAACAGTTGTTACAGTCAAATTAAATCATCCACAATTTGCGCAGGTGCAAAAGTGCAAGGTCTTTGGCTAAAATTCGTCATCTTTCTTGCAAAACATGGGAAAATAAAATTGATGGGGAAAGAGTAAAAATTTCCACCGATTTATTACATTGCCAATTTGATCGCCAGCCATAGGCACGATCCAATAACAGCGCCAGGAAAAGATACGAGTTTCTCATATATCATTTTCAAGTATGCTAAATATCTTTCTTATTTCAGAAGTTCAAAAATGTTGAAAAAGGATCTGTCACTTCTCCCCTCATCCATAATTGTATAGATAACATAACAATGGAATAAGCACGGTGTGAACCCTAGCATGGGTATTCATGTCTACATGAGATCCATAAAAATTCCTAACAGAGAAATCACATTGTAGCTGGATTTTTGCATCTAACTATCCCTTTTCTTTTCAGCGATCCTTTTCCTTTGATTTTCGCATCTGTAAGTTCAACTAAATAATCATTTATGCGAACACGATTATATAGCATTGCATACACAGAGAGATCAAAAGCAATCAAAAACGCGAAATGCAATCAAAACATATAAGAAAACATAGAAAATATGAGATAGTATAAGACGAACCTTCGGTAACTCATGAATTGTGGCCAAGATCCAGAGCGTCAAAAAATGACAAATGGGATTCGTTAAAGTGATTCTGGAATAAAATATATTATTATTAACAACTGTAGTGTGTTTCCTTCGTCCTTTTTATTCTCTCCAATTTCGTCCAGTTTTAATTAAAGTCCACACGATTTATCCTAAATCAGATCTGTGGACGGCAAGACTAACGATTTAGGTAAACAATAAAATTGTAGGAAATAAGCTGGTTTGCCACAATTTTGTTGTTGCATTGGTTGACACTCGTGGGGATCTAGGGATGGCCAAAAAGCTCGTCGACTCGGGCAGCTTGTGCTCGATTCAGAAAAAGGTCGAGTCGGGTCGGCTCGGGCTCGGTGGCTCGGGCCGAGCCTCACTGTTCTGGCTTGGCTCAGCCCCAAAAAGCTCGAGTTGAGCCCGATATTTTTTATTTAATTTATAATACGTATAAACCGTACAAATTTTGAATTTTTTAAACAAAAATGTAGATTTGATATTAAAAAAAAAAAAAAACCCGAACGGCTCGGTCCGGGCTCAACTCGGGCCGAGCCTCATTTTTTTTTTGGCTGAGCTTTGCTCGGCTCGGCACAAAAAATCTCGCCCTAAAAAAACTCGAGCCGAGCCCGACCTTTTTTTTTCAGCTCGACTCGTTGACATATCTATGGGGATCTAGTGGGAATAAAAAAGGGGTACTTAAAAAAATACCCTTAAAATTAAGGGTCTTCTGAAAAATCATGTGTTTATTTTGGAAGTAAAAAATATTGTGTAAAATTAATTGTCACTTTTTTAATAGAAAAAGTGACAATAAAAAAAAAGTGACCCACTGTCACTTTTTTAAAGTTAAGTGTCACTTTTATTTTAAAAAAATAATGTTTGTCACTCAAAAAAATAATTGAACCTTCAAAGAATTGATAAAAAAAGTAACAAATATTTAAAAAGTGATAAAAAATTTAATAAAAAGTAACGAACACTAAAAAAAGTAACATAAATTCAAAATAGTGACAAATTGACAATTTTCATGTTGGTGTAACACAATTGAGTTATTATTCGCCCAGTTGAGGCATGACAGAATACATTGTCACGTTTCTAAAGTCCAAATTAAACATCACCATAACACTTTCAAAACATCTCACTTTCTTCATGAACCTCAACAGATTTATTGGTGAAAATAAATATAAAAAAATGACAAACTGATGAATAAAATTGAGTTAGAATCA